TCGTTTGCCCCGGAGCAAAGCCGCCCAGGCAGCGGGACTCCCCCTGCCTGAGTGGCTTTGCTCGGGTGTCCCTGGTCTGCTGGGGGAGTCCAGCGGCTTTGCTGGACCCCCCCAGCAGACCAGGGAGACCGGGAGAAGCTTTTTTCGCCCCGGAGGACACGGGTGGCGACCCGCCGCCCGTGAGCTCCGGGGCGAGAAAAGCCCCGTTCGTAAGTGTGGATCTGACATAAGTCGGATCCGCGTAAGTCGGGGACTGCCTGTATAAGAGACTTCCTGCTTTGTGTTTCTTTTCACTTCAACTTTGCAGTTTTATTTAATTCTCTGAAGTATCTTGCAGTTTACTTTTTGTGAAAGATACTTACAGCAATTTTACTCATTTTTAGCCTATGATCTGTTAATAGTTCAAAATTTTGTAGAATTGTACCTACCAACTATTGGCAACTTACATGAACAAGACTGTCAGGGAGGGCAATAATCAAATATTTATTGTGAGGAAACTAATTATGTTGACTTTCAGATTTACTTTAGCAGCTTATTATGCAACATACACAAATGTGGCTGTAATTTTAATTCTTAATTTTTTTCTATCTAAGTGTTGATGGCTTCTATTCAGTTCAAAAAAATCTTCATTAGCTTATTCATTTATCAATACTTTTATCCTAAAAACTGGCTTCCTGATATTGTTCTGAATGAGAAATAGAAATATTAATTTTGATTTCTTTCTTGGTGACTATTGTAAAAATGGCTCCTGTTTTATAAGCTAGAAATATTCAAATCCTATAGGACTATTATTTCACCAAAAATGACTGTGTTTAGGTCCAAATTATTGATTGTGTGGCTTATACTCAGGCAAACGTGATACGAGTCAAAGAAACAGAACTAAATGTGCAGTGGATCTCACTGTGTGTATTTCTTTCCTTAAAGGAAACTTGTTTCTGATGAACTTGCTGACAGCAATAATATACAATCAGTTTCGAGGATACCTTCTAGTGAGTAAAACATGTATATGTGTGCTGATAAGTGCTAATTGCACTATTGGTGAGCCATAAATTTATAGCTTCTCAAGGTAGCTCTAAGTCTGAAATGCACGAGAGAGGAATTTGCATTAATGATATAGTCAAAGCAGCTCATGTGCTCTTCAACTAGGGCCACAGTTACAATATATAAAGGCATTTCTACTAGTATGGTGCCTTTCTGTAAGGGAAGAGGAATAAACTGTATCAGTGTAACTCTTCTTACACTAGAATTTGTACTGATTTAACTTGTAAAAAACCTACAATCCTAACCAAAATAGCTATATCATAACAAAAAAAATGTGTGGCTCAGTTGCAGGTGTATTACTGTTTATGGTGCCTAGTACAATAGGTCCCCAAAATAGCTATATCATAACAAAAAAAATATGTGGCTCAGTGACAGGTGTATTACTGTTTATGGTGCCTGGTACAATAGGTCCCTTCTCTTGGTTGGGGCTTTTAGGTGCTATTTTAATAGATAAGAATAAAATTAAAAAAAAATCAGTAAAACAACAAGGAGTCCTTAGAGACTAACAGATTTGTTAGAGAAGGAGACCTGTGGTACCTTACAGGCTAACAGATTTATTAGGGCATAACGTTTTGTGGGTAAAACCCACTTCATCAGATTATGATGAATCAGATGCATGGATTGTGGTGCACACTGATGCTTTTGGATACTCTAATACCAGTCATAAACTGTACTTTCTGGGATTTGTTCCCAAAAGTGTGCCCACATCAGTGGGAGCCAGGGTTTGAATATCAGCCCTGGATGTATATGTGAGCTCAGACAGGCCCCCATTTTCTTTCCCTTGTAGTTCTACTGCCCTGTCCCAAAGAAGCGTGCATAGGAAATCACTAAAACCAGAAGTCTTGGTCCTGTAGGGAGACTGGGTGGCATTAGTGGGACTTATACATCTTCTTGCTCTCTCTCAGCAATATGTCTTCTCTTGGGCTCCCCTGAGCTTAGCCTTAGACACTTTTAAGTTACTCTTTAAACTGCAGAGAAAATATGTAGTTGGACCCTGTTAATGGACTGCTGATGACTGGGGGTGGGGGAATTGGAAAAGAGGGAGGTGAAGGGCATCTTGCCTTTCCTGAAATTACCCTTAACTGAACTGAAATAGCCCTTTTTGCTTTGGTTTGAGAGGGAGGCAGTGACTTGGGGCACGCTTCACTTCAGCTGAGAGAGTTGTCTCTCTAATACAGGGGTGGGCAATAATTTTTTGTTGGGGACCGCTTCAAAAACCGGGCTACACCGGAAGGGGTAGGGCCTCAAATGGAAGGGGCAGGGGAAGGATACCTCCAGGCTTCCCCACCCACAGACCATGATTGGTCTGGGGATGGGGAAGCGTGCAAAGCCTCCTTCTGCCCTGCCAGGAGCGCTCAGCACTTCTAAGTGCCATGCACACCTCTCAGGGTGGGGGTAGGGTGGAGGAAACTTTGCATGCTCCTCCCGCCCCCCCCAGGCCAATTGACTTGGGGGGTGGGGAGTACGCAAAGTCTCCTCCCGCCCTGCCAGTAGCAGGTGGCATTTCAAAGTGCTGCGTGCTTGGTGGGCAATAATTTTTTGTTGGGGACCGCTTCAAAAACCGGGCTACACCGGAAGGGGTAGGGCCTCAAATGGAAGGGGCAGGGGAAGGATACCTCCAGGCTTCCCCACCCACAGACCATGATTGGTCTGGGGATGGGGAAGCGTGCGAAGCCTCCTTCTGCCCTGCCAGGAGCGCTCAGCACTTCTAAGTGCCATGCACACCTCTCAGGGTGGGGGTAGGGTGGAGGAAACTTTGCATGCTCCTCCCGCCCCCCCAGGCCAATTGACTTGGGGGGTGGGGAGTGCGCAAAGTCTCCTCCCGCCCTGCCAGTAGCAGGTGGCATTTCAAAGTGCTGCGTGCTTCTGGCAGGGCGGAGGAAACTTCATGTGCTTTCCCGTGCCCCCAGGCCCTAATTGGTCTTGGGGCAAGGGAACAGCAGGGCCTCCATGGGCCGAATCAACCCACTTGGTGGGCTAAATCCGTCTCGCGGAGGCCCATTGTCCCACTCCTCCTGTAATAGCTACTGAAAGGTAACTTCTCTTCTCTGCGGTATTGTCACTATATAGAAATCGGTCCAGTCCTCGCTCTTGAGGAGACGTTTAGGAATCCGAGCTGCATTCGAAGTGCTGTGCTCCATGAAAGAAAGTTCTGTCAATACACACGAGTAAGTGAAGAATGCCACAGTGCATGCTGCTGCTGGGGAAGAGAGTAATATTTTTCCTCCAATCATGTCTGTTACTGCTCCTGAGGTTCCCTTTTTTGGGGCCAGGCACATTATCACCCATCTGTTTATTTAATGACTCTTTTTTCTTCCTGCCACCTCTTCTACCCTCTCCTTATAACAGCCATAGCCATATAATGTAAACACTGTTCTGAGGCTCTCGTTTTTGTCTGTCTTATAAATGGGTAGAGAGGGGGGAGGATGCACGCTGGTTCTTGCTTTCGCATCCGATCTTCTATGTCTGTTGAAAATGCTTGAAAAAATAAGCACAGGGCTGGAGTGAAGATCAGCATTTCAATGGTGCCTTTCATGAGAGGCAGGAGACAGATTATGTTTCAAGATAGTTGTGAGAGCTAGTTGTCTCCTTTTAAAAAAATTTATTTGTAAACAGGTTGTTTGTCAATGCTAATACATTGCTACAAGTGCTTCAAAAAGTTGAAATGGACCCTTGCTGCAAGCAAGCCATCTCGAGGGTAGGAATTTGATTTCATTTGATTAAATTCATGTTAGTGCTTGTTTAAGGTTCTGCCTAATAGCTCTATGGACTGCGAACTTCTGTTTAATCCTATAGCCGGTCTGGGAGTGGTCACATCAGCAGTAATTTCTTCCCACTGTCCTGGCAATATCGGAAACCTCGCTGAATGAGAGTCACTACTGGCAAACTCAGAGTTTGAACCAGGGGTAGAAGGTTTCATGTCTCATTATAAACTCCCAGAGCCATTCAGCAAGGTTTCATGTCTCATTATAAACTCCCAGAGCCATTCGGCCTCTTCTTGGTGTGATTCTATTTTGTTTTCATTAAGCATTTTTTTTGCGCATTCTTTTGCGTTTTTATTGTAAATTCCATTTTTAAACCTTGTCTGGTAAAAAGGGAAAGGGAAACTATATAAAAAGGAAGCTATATAAAAATGGTATTGTTTAAGTGGCTAATTCTAGACACCTGTGTTTTGACAGCTTAGCGTCAAAGACAGTTGTTCTCAACCTGTTTACCATTGTGGGAAGCATATACAGCTCTTTATGTGTTGTGTGACTGTCCACACTAGCACTTATACCGGCATAACTTTTGTTGCTCGTGGAGTGGAATTTTCATGCCCTTGTGAATTACATCAGTTTTTTCCACATAAGTGGTAGTGTGTAGACATAGCCTGTTGGTGGGAGGAGAAATGAAAGAAGTGACTTGTCCAAGGTCACACAGCAGGTCAGTGGCCACGTAAGGACTAGACCCTGGATCTCCTGGAGCCTGCTTCCTCACTGAGTACTGATATAGTCTTTAGGCATCTAAAGATGTATTAAACGCAGAGGTTGATTACTGTTTCTCTTATATGTAAAGACACTTCGGTCATGCCCTCGTGGCATACTGTCAGCTGCCTCATTTCAGAAGCTCTTTGATGAACTCGAAAAAGATCCTGTTAAACAGGTAAGTGCATGCGAACTATTTAAATAGCACTTTTAAACCATGCAGTTTGGTACAACAGTAAATAGCAGGCTTTGACTGTGAAGATATGATATTGAGCAGACAATAGAGTCATGAGGGTTAATTGATTACATGTTATATTCACTGTATTATTCATAAATGGTTTTAATCTTGACAAGGTCCATTGCTCTTCAGTCTTATGTCCTTTTTTTTAAAGGGTCGAGCCTAGGGATGTAAGTGTAATCGATTAACTGATAAGCAACACCTTCTAGGTTAAATGCTATAGACTACACGCATTCTCCCCCGCCCCCACCTACCAGTACATTTTTTAGGAGGCTGGCCAGCAGCCCAGCTCAGTCCTGGCTTGGGCTGGGTCCAGAGCCTACCCCCACTGTGGCTCTGCATTTAAAGTGTATTAGGAGCCAGATGGGCAGGCAACCTGGTTCAGTTCTAGCTCATGCCCGGTCTGGGAGCTCAGCCCCTCCCCTGCACAGGGGCTGCTGCCACCCTGTGCTGCTGCATCTGTATCAGAGGCAGCAGCGTAGGGCAACAGGCAGCTGGCTTGCGAGGGGAGCTGTTTTTTATATTGGCTCTCCTTGCGGACCAGCTTCCTCCTGGTACCCCACGCTGCTGCCTCTGATACAGAGGCGGCAGTGTGGAGTGTCAGGGAGCACCTTGGGAGTGGGGCCAGAGTGCATTGGCTTCCGGCCCCACCCCTGAGGACTATAGAATAGTCGACTAACCGATAAGAATTCATGAGGTTAATCGACTATTCAATTATCCAATATTTAACATCCCTAGTTGAGCCTTTAAACATTAAATACCTTCTAAAAATATTCAAACAAAAATATTTGTAATGCTTCTTATCTTGGGAATTCTTAAGTGCTTTGACTAGATAAAATGTGTGTAAATTTTCCTTTATTAGAAGATATGATTAGTAATAAGCAAATGAAAGATGAGTTGGCGAGAGACTACATTTCCCCAAAAGTTCATTTGTAAGTTAGCTATTCTCATAAGTGCTGAAAACTGAAACTACTATATGTAAACTTTATGTTTAAGTGACTCGACTGTGCTAGAAGAATTAATCCATTTCACATTTAAAAAAAGAAAATTGATAATTTATGTTGCTTGCGGAGTAGAATATCATCAGTTGGTCTCTAGACCAAAAATACACTGGAAAGGAACAATACTACAAATTTATAATTATTGTTTCCATGGAGGATTAAAGAGAGGATAAGTATTCAGTGCTTGCTAGCTTAAAAACCATTTTTGATCATTAGAAATATGTAGAGGAAACAAACAAAAACCAAAACACCATGGTAAATAGGGTTCTAATGAAATGTGTGAGGTATTTTTAAAATATTTTCCACCATGAGAGAGTCCCATTTTGAGGTAATTCATTTTCCCCATATGTTTATTTTTTGGCAGACAATGTCAAAGTCTCTCAGTCTTTGAATGACGTCGAAGTTTTGCTTCTTTGCCACCAGTGAAACATACAGTCTTAAAAGAGCTTTAAGTTGCATTGATTTTAGTTGCATTGATTTTAACTAAAACTGGTTTTAAAAACTGATTATAAATTGGTACAAAGCCTTGCCTGGATATTTTTATTTCGGTTTAAGGGGGCATGCTTTGGTTTAGGTTAAACTAATTCCTAATCTGAATAAACTAAATCAAAATAAATTTGTCTTAGGCCAAAATAATAGTTTTTACATAGTTTTTGGCACCAATATCCCTGAATTGGTTTAAAAATCACACCTTTAGTTAAGATGAAGCAACTGTATGTGTAAACTAGGTTTTAGGAATAAATTCAGTCCTACCATCAATTTATCCAATGTCTCTGGAATTTGAGTTTTGCTCCCTGCTTATATTGGGGTTTAGTTTCTCCTTTCATCTTGTGTACTTGCCCACTCCTAACAAAGAATTTAGACCCTGAATCTCAAAAATGACTGTTCTTTTCTTTTCAGCACCCTCCCAAACCAGAGTACCAGTCTCTTTTTCTGCAGAAAGTGCAATTTGGTGTGGGCCATCGCTTCTTTGGCTACTTAGGAAACTTTGTAGCACTAGCAAACATTGTTTCTATCTGTGTAAGTATTGATTTTTGCATCAGAATCAAAATAGGATTGTTTTGAATATTATTCTGCATTCTTACCACCACCTTCTATAGAGGTCTCTATTAAGCATTGTTTAATCCTGCATGTTATATTTAATATTTATTAAATTAAATTTAATATTTAAAACTAAGGCATAATTTCTCTGGAAAAGAATAATTTCTCTGCAGCATACAGCAGATTTCCGATAATCCGGCATCTTTGGGACGTAGGTGGTGCCGGATTATTGGATATGCCGGACTATCAGGAGGTACTATAAGGGGGCATACTCCCAGTCCAATCCCCCTCCCCCTACTCTAATCTAATTCTCGGGTCCTGGAGCCACTGCTACAGCCACGTGTCTCCCTCCAGGCACTGGGGCACGAGCACTGAGTGGCCGGTCTTGAGGCAG